AACCTTCTTCTCTCTAATGAAAACAGCCTCAAAACCCTCAGCCTTTCCTCATAAGACCTTCCCTCCATACCAGGCAACATCCTGGTAAATGTCCTCTGCACCCTTTCCAATGCTTCCACATCCTTCCTATAATGCGGTGACCAGAACTGTACACAATACTCCAAGTGCAGCTGCACCAGAGTTTTGTACAGCTGCAACATGACCTCATGGCTCCGAAACTCAATCCCTCTACCAGTAAAACCTAACATACTGTACGTCTTCTTAACAACGCTATCAACCTGGGTGGCAACTTTCAGTGATCTATGCACATGGACACCGAGATCTTTCTGCTCATCCACACTACCAAGAATCTTACCATTAGCCCAGTACTCTGTATTCCTGTTACTCCTTCCAAAGTGAATCACCTCACACTTTTCCGCATTAAACTCCATTTGCCACCTCTCAGCCCAGCTCTGCAGCTTATCTATGTCCCTCTGTAACCTGCAACATCCTTCCGCACTATCCACAACTCCACCGACTTTGGTGTCATCCGCAAATTTACTAACCCATCCTTCTACGCCCTCATCCAGGTCATTTATAAAAATGACAAACAGCAGTGGCCCCAAAACAGATCCTTGAAGTACACCACTAGTAACTGAACTCCAGGATGAACATTTCCCATCAACCACCACCCTCTGTCTTCTTACAGCTAGCCAATTTCTGATCCAAACCGCTAAATCACCCTCAATCCCATGCCTCCGTATTTTCTGCAAGAGCCTACCATGGGGAACCTTATCAAACGCTTTACTGAAATCCAAATACACCACATCAACCGCTTTACCCTCATCCACCTGTTTGGTCACCTTCTCAAAGAAGGATTTCCTTTGCCGATAAACCATTGTGGAATCTGTTTTTAGTTGAATATAACGTATCTTGGACAAAACAGAGCTCAAAAGAAAATACCACACCTTGGGAGCATCATTCACATTAGACATACATTTGTTACTTTGTACTTTGTATCTGCTGCCTTTGTGGGCAGTTTTAGGTTCACTCCTAACGAACCCTACATGGCGCTGCCTTTTGTATCGATTGACTTATACTCCCATGAATATGTAACTAACAGGGCTAAATAGATTTCTTTTAGATGACTCTTCCAGTTGTGGGAGATTTCTTTTAGACATCTGTATCATCCAGGCCTCCTTTAAACTGTCAGCAATGGAGATAAGGCGTCAGCCTTTTGGGTATCCATCTATGCGGATGTTTCCAAAACAAATCTCCAATGTGTCAGAACTGATTGTCCGTCAGAGATTCATAGAGTCATACAGCATGAAAACAGACCCTTCGGTTCAACCAGTCCATACCGACCATAATCCCAAACTAAACTAGTCCCACCTGCCTACTCCAAACATTTCTTATTCATATACTTACCTAAATGTCTTTTAAATGTTGTTACTGTGCCTGCATCCACCACTTCCTCTGAAAGTTGGTCCCACACAGTAAACACTCTCTGTGTTAAAAAAAAATTGCCCCTCGTGTCATTTTTAAATCTTTCTCCTCTCACTTTAAAAATATGCCCCCTAGTCTTGAAATCTCCCACTCTCGGGAAAAGACACTTGCCATTCACCTTATCTAAACCTTTCATGATTTTGTAAACCTCTATAAGGTCACCCCTCAACCTCCTACGCTCCAGTGAAAAAAAGTCCCTAGCCTCTCTGGTTATAACTCAAACCCTCCATTTCCTGGTACCTGAGACTAAATTCCACCATACCTCCAAATGTCCAACTGCTTGGTTTTGACTTATCTATTAGTAAGGTATTAGAAAGCTGTTCGCACTCATGAGGAATTCCATATCGGCTTCTGCTATATAAAGCTATTCACTGTTTAATCTGGTTACACCAGGCCTTTCTTCCCACTTTAATACCTATTAATGTGAGACCTGTCTCTGGCACCAACAGAGGGTTCTTGGTCCTGTTTTCTGACGGAGGAGTGACTACCACGAGTTCGAGCTGTGCTTTCCCACTCTTCACTTCACCCTATTCTGGCAGAGCGTGGACCTCGTTCTCCCATGCCGTCTCTCTCAACATTCAGCCATTCGCATTTCAACCAGGCTATAGCTTTTCCTGCCCCTGTAGCAGAAATGTCTTGCCCCTACAATAATCACCATTCCCCATCCCCCTGGAATATATGTCCCCTGAATAAATCCCCCCTGCATTATGGATAAGAAACATTACTGGTTTCCCTGTCCCTCTTCGGTTCCCTGTGATTGTGAATGTCATCCTCCCTCCGTCGGTGTTTATTGCGAGGAGGTGAAATTCTGCAGCGAGAGCGGTGTGCGAAAACATTTTGCCTTCCACATACTGCAGCCTGTGGGCAGTGTCAACAGACAGTGGACACTATCATAGCTGGGCTCTTCCTCTTCCAGAGAAAATGGAGCACAGCAGCTTAATCAGACAGAGCATTGGTCTGAGGAGAGGGATTAGAGAGGCATAAGGAGGCACAGTAACATCAATTCTCGTGTTCAGGTTTCCTTCCCATTATCGAACAATTCAATCAATCCCTCATTCGATCTGACAATCTTCTTCTGGTTTCAATAGAGTAAAATGTCTCTCTAAAGCCAATATGACTGACTCTTTGAAGTGAATCTATTAAAAAGAATTGAGCCGCCTTTGAATTCAAATGACAGTGTTTGGCGGTTTTGCTTACAATTTTCCCCCTGACTAGTCCTAATATCGCATTCTTCAACTTGGAATCCACTTTTTCTTCAGGCACTTGTCAGGGTTGGTGAGGAAAGGTTGTTTCCCCTTGTGGGAGATTCTGGGACCAAAGGACATAATCTCAGAAAAAGGGGTTGTAGGCTAAAGGCAGAGATGAGGAGGTTGTTTTTTTTCTCTCTAAGTGGGTAGTGAATCTGTGGAATTCTTTATCACAATGGGCCGTCCAGGCTGAGTCGTTAAGTTGATTCGCAGATTTCTAATCAGTTGGGGAATCAAGTTATTGGGGAAAGGCAGAAAATGGAGTTGAGGATTATCAGATCAGCCATGATCACATTGATTGGCCAAGCAGCCTATATTTTACACTGAGCACATCCCAGTGTGCCATGGGCAAATATTCATTTGTTAAAAAGCTCTGTATAAATGCAGGTTGTTGTTATTGCATGGGTTCAAGGGACTCGCTCCTGTTTATCCCTTCCAGTTCCAGCGGTACAGTGTACCTGCCAGCCCCACTAGGGGCGTTTTACTGTGAGCTAGATAAACAAGACTGTACTGGTAGCGAACGGCGCGAACCTTTGGTAATCGATTGCCAAAGCTTGCTCAATCTGACCTGTATTAGGGTTGGGAAGTTGTGGGGGGGGGGGGGGGGGGTGCGGATGAATGCAAGGGCTTGGCGGTGGCAAGAAATGGGATTTTCGCTTGGAAAGTGGAGTTAGCTGTGGAGATGTGAATCACTCAGTTCATCGGCCGCTATAAGAAGTGTAAAAAAGACAGTTGCCTCGCAAGGTTAGCGAGGGAGAAAGAGGCAGACTTCTATTTAAAAAGCCAGACTGCTGATGTCCGGTTTAGGGTTTCAAAGTTTCCAGACAGCGGACTTAAAACCTGTATCAGTGCCAACCGTGTGGAGAGCAGCGACAGAAATCTCGCTCACCCTTGACTGTCACTCCAACTGGAGTTGTTCAGTCAGTTGCAAACCCAAGTATTCTAAAAGGTCCTCCTGCAATGTGGAAGGCAGCGAGTCTTATTGCTGCTGTGTAACTTTAACACCCCCTTAAAGTTTCACGCGACCGCAAATGTGAGTAATGTCTCTTTAAAATTGTAAAACGAGCGATTGAGACCGTCCGTAGGCACCTTTCATTGATTGGTCCATAAAGTAATGAGCGGGCATCGGCCCGTCCATTTGATTGGGCCAGAAGGACAAGGGCGGGAACAGGGAAAGCAGCGTCCACTCAATGATTGGTCTGAACTCGTTTGGAGGCGCGGCCTGACTCCGCCCTGCCAGCCTCCTGTTGTGAATGGGCAGCGCGCTCGGAGTCTGGATCTTGACTGGTGGAGTAAAAGACAATGGGAGGCGGTGCTGTCGCGACGCCGCGGCTCCCGACTGGACAAAACGGTTGATTGGCAGGCCGGGCGGTGCACCCCCTTGGCTACATTGTGTTTGAAACAAAAGTAACAATGTGATCGCGGAGCCGCGAGTGGAGCGGAGCGCAAGGAATCGGCAGGAAGAAAAGGAGCCGGATCCCGGCTCACACAGCAGCTCGAACCTAACCAGCGGCACACATAGATAGAGTGAGGGAAGCGGCAGGAGAGGAAAGAGAAACTGCGAGAGCAAAGGCCACGAAGGGCAAACGCACGACGTTGTTTGGGGAGGAGAGCTGCAGAGCTTACCTGGGCTCCGAATTTGATGCGAGAGATTTGTGCCCGTTTGGGAGAGGGAGAAGACTTGAGGGCAGCGCTCAAGAGCCCTCATACATGCCTGGAGACTACTCTCGAAGAAGTTAAAAATCAGAAGATCTCAAAAAGTTTATACCTGGAGCCCTCTTGGTTGCTTGCGTACTGCAGGCGATTTCACCTTCGCGCGATTGGAGAGAGGGAGAGCCGGAGATATCGGAGCCTACAAACCCCTCAATACTCCTGTCTAAACATTTCGAGATACCGTGAAAGTTATCACTTAAGACAAAAAGCGTGGAGAAATCGCCCGGGGACGACGGGAAGACCGCAGGAAGAGTGTGAGAGGTATTGAGAATCACTGGAAGTGTTTCCATGGCACGTTTGTCAATGTTGCATTTCGAGGGCGGCTGTTTCTCCCTGCAGTAAAGAGCCGAGCTGGACATTTTTGTTTTGTTTTCACCGGAGCGGCTAGGGGTTTCCTCTCAGTTCCAGCCAGTTATGGTTTGAGGCTGGCATCAGGTGTCTGACTGCGGCGTGCCGTAAGGTGTTGGAGAAGGGGTGGGGGTGGGTGCGTGGAGAGGATGGTAGCTGGGGGGCAAGAGATGTGGCTGTGCTGACCCAGTGCAGGAGTAAGTTGGCCTTTAGGAGATCGGAGGCGGACTGTGACCATACCCTGTGCCCACTTGGCCAAAGCAGAGGCCATGCTCCGGGCGCACGGCTCCCTCCTGCTGAAGCTGTGCCTGCTGGCACTGGTGGGTGTCGCTGCCTGTGCCTCCAAGGCGATGGTTTGCCAAGTGATCACGGTGCCCATGTGTAGGGGGATTGGCTACAACTTCACCTACATGCCCAACCAGTTCAACCACGACAGCCAGGACGAGGCCGGCCTGGAGGTCCATCAGTTCTGGCCCCTGGTGGAGATCCAGTGCTCGCCCGACCTCCGGTTCTTCCTGTGCAGCGTCTACACCCCGATCTGCCTGGCGGACTACAAGAAGCCCCTGCCACCGTGCCGCTCGGTCTGCGAGCGGGCTAAGGCCGGCTGCTCACCCCTCATGAGGCAGTACGGGTTTGCCTGGCCCGAGCGGATGAACTGCGACAAGCTGCCCGTCCTCGGAGACCCTCACAACCTGTGCATGGACTACAATCGGAGCGAGGCCACCACCCTGTCTCCCGCCTTCCGCAAGCCCACCCACGTGCCCGACAAGGACTTGAAGCCACCGTCCTGGCCCCGCCCTGGGCACCAGCCAAGGGAGTGCCGTGGCAAGTGCCGGTGCAAGGAGCCCCTGGTCCAGATCTCCAAAGAGAGTCACCCGCTCTACAACAAGATCAAGACCGGCCAAGTGCCCAACTGTGCCATCCCATGCTACGAGCCCTACTTCAGCGAGGATGAGCGGACATTTGCCACCTTCTGGATCGGTCTGTGGTGCATCTTGTGCTTCCTGTCCACCTTCACCACCGTCTGCACCTTCCTGATCGACATGGAGCGGTTCAAGTACCCGGAGAGGCCCATCATCTTCCTGTCGGCCTGCTACCTCTTCGTGTCAGTGGGCTACATCGTGCGGCTGATCGCCGGCCATGCCAACGTGGCCTGCAACAAGGAGTACGACCACATCCACTACGAGACCACCGGCCCTGCCCTGTGCACCCTCGTCTTCCTGCTCATCTACTTCTTCGGGATGGCCAGCTCCATCTGGTGGGTCATCCTGTCTTTCACCTGGTTCCTGGCAGCTGGCATGAAGTGGGGCAATGAGGCCATCGCCGGCTATTCCCAGTATTTCCACATGGGAGCCTGGCTGATTCCCAGCATCAAGTCCATTGCCGTGCTGGCGCTGAGCTCCGTTGACGGAGACCCGGTGGCCGGCATCTGCTACGTCGGCAACCAGAACCTGGACAACCTGCGGGGCTTCGTCCTAGCGCCTCTGGTGGTCTACCTCTTCACAGGCACCATGTTCCTCCTGGCTGGCTTCGTGTCGCTGTTCCGGATACGCAGCGTCATCAAGCAAGGGGGCACCAAGACGGACAAGCTGGAGAAGCTGATGATCCGAATCGGCATCTTCACGGTGCTGTACACGGTGCCCGCCGCCATCGTGGTGGCGTGCTTCATCTACGAGGAGCACTACCGGGAACGCTGGGAGAGGGCACTCAGCTGCTCCTGCCCTGGAAACCAGCCACGACCACGGCCCGAGTATGCCGTCTTCATGCTGAAGTACTTCATGTGCCTGGTGGTGGGCATCACCTCTGGGGTCTGGATCTGGTCCGGGAAGACTTTGGAGTCCTGGAAACGGTTTAGCAGTCGATGTTGCCGGGCGAGGAAGCTGGCCAACGAAGCCGTGTACGGTGAGGCCAGTGCGGCTCTGACAGCGAGGACAGGAGTCGCTGGCTCTGCTTCCTACCACAAACAAGTGCCAATGTCACATGTTTAACAGCCCCTGGTCAATGGGTTTGCTTATATTGTAAATAGATAGATATATATATATATATATATAATGAAAAAGTACACTGAGGTATTATTGCCTGTTATCTCATGAGTCTTTTACACTGTAAATTTGTGGATTTTAATCATTGTACAATGCGCTATTTTGTGGTGAGTGCAGAGTCGGTCACCTGTTACTGTGCTGTACCATCTGTGCCAAGAGCGGCCAGAATCTGGCCCATTCAAAACCACAGACAGGAGGGACCGGGTAAACTGCCCGCTCAATACCATGACCGGAGAGAAGAGGTGCACACACTGCAAGGGTTATGTTTTGTTTTTGCAGTGCTCGGCTTGATTGGGAAGGTGTCTCTTTTGTGCACGCATTTTCTAAAGCCCCGGGAGCTGTGCTATTCAACAGGACATGAGGGGAGGCACAGTAACATGGTCATGATCAATACCAGCACAGTTCAGAGGTGCTGTACTCTCCGTGTTACCCTTCTTCTCTCTCTGTGCCGCACTCTGTGCTTGGTTTGATATCCAGCACCATTACCTGGTCCAGTTCAAATATTAACCTGGTGTTGTTAAGATTACAGATTGGTTAGCAGGAATCATTTTCTCCTGGGCTGCTTGGCACACCCTTGCTACTGGCAACTGGACGAGGCTCCCTTTGCACCTGCCCAAGGACATAGCTATATAAGTCTCTTCCCCTGTGCTTTGTCTCCAGAAGCAATCTGTTCAAGCCGCTGCTCAAGTCAGTAACTGGGGTACTGTTCATACATCAAGCCATGAAATGGTTTTGTGCCGTCTTAGAAAGCTCCCACATCACTTAAATCATAGTGCAGATGGGAGCCTTGCTGGGCTAAGCTGCCTCTTCATTCCCCCGTTTTAAATCTTGATTCTGATTTAGGGAGAGCGGTCTGTATCAGGATTTAGTGTGCAAACCCAGGCAGTTTGTATTTGCAGCATGTTGCACTTGAAGGCATCCCCATCAGTGTCTGGATTTAGGGTGGGCAATGTGTGTGAACCCAGATGGTGAGTGCTCATTGAATGTGAAGGCATTACTAATTCAGGCTTTAAGTATACGTGCACAGAGTATAAGGGTAAGCTAGGCTTCTGTTGTGTAATTGCTGAATATAGAGAAAGAGAGTGAGGCTAGTACTGGGAGGGGGGGCGCGGAGAGAGAGAGAGAGCGGTGGCGGGGGGGGGGTGGGGTCATCCTAAACTGATGGCAAGAATGTGCCTGGCATTGAGTGATTTACAATAGAACCTGTAGCAGATAGAGCCAGTGCATCTACCAGTGGTTGCACCTCTTTAGAAAGCTCATTGGTGTGCACTGCCAGGTTTAATGCAATTACTCACTCCCATCTTGAATCACTGATCTTGCTTCAGAGAGAAAAGAAGAGTGGGCAATGTGGAACTCAACTCTCTAACCCAGAAAGGACCCAGCTTACTAGTTCCGGTGTTGTATTAATTGGGGAAAGGGCTGGCTTCTCGAGTGTGATTCCCCTCATAGTTGCTGCCTGTAGATACACACCGGGTATCTTTCACCTTGCGTTCCCCTGGTTTGGGGAAGAGGCCTCTGAAGTCAAACCCGCTGACCTCTCTCATCCGTGTACTGACTGATCTCCAGACCATCAGTGTCTTAGTTTTGGGATTCTTAGCAATCCCTTCAAAGCCCCCTGTCTTTGTAGCCCCTTCCAGCCCAACAATCCTCTGGTCTCTGTGCTCCTTCAAATCTGGCCTTTGCATATCCCTAGTTTCCCATTGTTCCGCTGTTGGCAGCCATACCTTCAACGGATTAGACCACAGGCTCAGGAATTCTGATGAACCTTTGATTGGATGCTCCTTAAAACATGCTTTGTTTTAACTACTTGTCTGAACAATTTTTTTTTGTATGGCTGACTATCAAATGTGTGTCTGATTGATCTCGTTTGAAACACCTTGGAGTATCTTGTTATGTTAAAAGTTCTATACAAATGCAGCGGGTGAGAGGGCAGCCCAGATCTGTCTTGCCCAGTTTTAATGATTATTGCTGCCAATTCAGTTCTCCCTTCTGCCTCCCTCATTGAGCCTGCCTGAACAAAAAAAGTCTAGAATGCAGAGATACATACAGGGAAGTCCTGAAATTACTGCACACTAGTGAACAATTACATACTAATGTTTTAGCAGAGCCAATGGTCCCTAAAAAAGTAGAACAAAAAGGAAGCGTGGCAGACACTGGAAAACTGGAATGAGAATAGGAAGTGCTGAAAATACTCAGCAGCAATAAACTGCTCGGTGATGCTCAGTTTGGGTTCCGCCATGGTGACTCAGCTCCTGACCTCATTACAGCCTCGGTTTGAACACGGACGAAAGAGCTGAATTCCAAAGGTGAGGTGCCCTTGACATCAAGGCTGCATTCAACAGGGTGCAGCATCAAGGAGCCCTAACAAAACCGGGATCCAGTAGGTATCGGGGCCAAGTCTCCACTGGTTGGAGTCATGTCTAGCACATTGAAGGATGGTTGTGGTTTCTGGAGTTCAGTCACCTCAGTTCCAGGAGTTCCTCAGGATGGTGTCCTAGACCCAACCATCTTCAGCTGCTTCATCAATGACCTTCCCATAACATCATTAGGTCAGAAGTGGGGATGTTCGCCGATGATTGCACAATGTTCAGCACCATTCGTGACTCCTCAGATACTGAAGTAAGTCCATGTCCAAATACAGCAAATCTGGACGACACCCAGGCTTAGGCTGACTAGTTACAAATAACATTTGCACCAAATAAGTGCCAGGCAATGACCAACACCCAACAAGATAGAATGTAACCATTTGTACCCTAGTGTTCAATGGCTTTACCACCACTGAATAGTCTCCTATCAACATCCTTGGATGCAGGGGAGGGGTAACTCATCTCCCTAATGTCTGTCCACTGTCTATATGCACACGTCAAGAGGGTGACTGAATACTCTGCCCTGTTAGCTTCAACAAAATTCAAGAAGCTTAACATCATCAAGGACAAAGTAGCCTACTTGACTAGCGCCCCGTCCACCACTTTCAACATTCACTCCCTTCACCACTGATGCACAGTCTGCCACCCACAAGATGCACTGCACTCACACAGCACCTTCCAAACCTACCGTTACCATTTAGGAAGACAAGGGCAGCAGATACATGGAAACACCACCACCCACAAGTTCCCCTGCAAGCCACTTGCCGTCCTGATTCGGAAATACGTCACTGCTCCATCACTGTCACTGGTTCGAAATCCAGGAACTCCTTTCCTAATTGTCCCAACACCCCAAGGACCGCAGCAATTCAAGAAAGTAGCTCACCACTATCTTATCCAGGGCCATTATCCAGCCAACAGCTCCCACATTCCACGAAATGAGACGAAAAAATGTCAGGCAAAATTTGAGGAGAGTGAAACTTGAGTTGAACTTTCAGATCAATGACCTTTCCAGTCAGAATTGGAAAATATTGAGATGTGTCAGGTTTTACAGAGGCAGGAAAGAAATAAGTGAAATGGATTAGAGTAAGTTCTCCACTGAGAGAGCAGGCATCAAATTTCAGCCAATTCAGTTGGTATTTGTGCTTCACCGTAACTTCAGGGTTCCTCTGTTACTATCACGCGGCCCTATTGTTATTGGAATCATACACAACAGTGGGAGGCCAACCATGCTATCGTGACTGTGCTGGTTTTATGAAAGAGCTTGCCCCAGTTGTCCCACTCCACCTGCTCTTTGCCTAAAGGCCCTGAAAACATTTCCCCTTCAACTATATATCTAAACCAATACTTTATGCCTTAACCAATAAATGCAAAAACAGTATCTTTTCATGGTCATACTGCCATTTGTGGGAGCTTGCTCTGCATAAATTGCCTGCTGTATTACAGACATTACAGTAGTGACTGCACTTCAGAAAGAAACACTGCATTGGTTGCAAATCACTTGGCAACGTCCTGAAGGCGTTGTGCAAGTGCACCTTGCGATTTCTAAACCTATAGAGGGCTTTTAATGGAATATCTAAGCATTTCTACTTTTCTTTATTTGAAAGTTACTATGGCAATTGCTTCTGCCATCTTTTCAGGGGCTGGGCTGCAGCTATGGGTTTGATGAGTGAATGACCCATGCCAGCCTTCCAGGTATTAGTGTCTGTGATTGGCAGCGTATTGGATGGTTTTGGTTCTGGATTAGTTGCAATGAGTTTGTCAGATAATCAGGCTTCTCACTGGACTTTGCTGCAATCGATCTGGCTGGGGGCTGGATACACACAGACTTGCTTGCAGTTTGTTTGCAGGTGGATAATTTTCATGGTTCTCATTCGCCACGGCGTTCTTTATTTGTGTAATTTGCACTTTAATCGACCTGTGGATAGCAACGCTCCTTGAGAGATTGGGCTGTTAGTTTGGAGTTTATTATCATTACTTAATCTTGGTGTGGAGAGGCTGGTAGTGGAGGACACACAGTGTTGGTGCAACTTGCAGTCCCGCATACCCACATACACTGAATTCCCCACTTTTGGACAGGACTCCCTTGCAGCTGTTTCTTTATAGGTCCATTGACAGAGGAATGGGAAAGGTTGGGGTTCTCTATCCCAGAAAGGAGAAGGCTGAGAGCTGAATGGATTGATGCCATCAAAGTTATGAAGAGGTTTGATATGACAGAAGTAGCGAAGATGTTTCCACTTATAGGGAGCCCATCGCTAAGAATGCAAAGTGGAGTATGATGAGAAAATAATTTGCAAGATGACAGGCAAAAGGCTAGGAAGTGGGACCCCTCCCCAGTCCCCGAGCTGCTCTTGTAGAGAGCCAGCATGGACATGAGATAGGGCTAAATCGCCTTCTTTTGTGTTGTAACCATTCTATGATGTTATGGCGATCACTAGTAAATTCAGTTGGGAATCTGAGAGAAATGTCTTTACTGAGAGCGTGGTTAGAATTCGGAACTTGTTACCAGAGAGTGAATGAAGTACCAATGTATTTAAGATGAAGCCCAAAAAGTATCTAATGAAGAATGGAATAGTAAGATAG